ATATATATATATATATATATGCCTAAGCGACCATTAGACCAGTAGTTATGATGCGCACTGACCACCAGGGGCAGATGCTTAACGCACAAGCATGGAAACATGGAACAGACTGATGAATCTCAGAGGGAAGTGGGGAGGGAGGGAAGAGATTAACCAAAGATCTTATATGTGTACTAGAGGCCCGGTGCACAGGTTGGTGCACTGGTGGGGTCCCTCAGCCTGGCCTGTGGGGATCAGGCCAAAACCAGCAGTCTGGCATCCCCTGGGGGGCCCTGGATTACGAGAGGGTGCAGGCCAGGCCAAGGGACCCCACTGGTGCATGAATCCATGCACCAGGCCTCTAGTTAAGATATAAAAAACAGCCCTAGCCAGTTTGGCTCAGTCCCTGGCCCTGGTTGGGGTGTGTGTGGGAGGCAACCAATCAATGTGTCTCTCTCACATCCACATTTCTCTCTCTCTCCCTCTCTGTTTCTTTCCCTCCCTTCCACTCTCTCTCAAAAAAAAAAAAAAAAGTCCTGGTGGTTTGGTGCAGTGGATAGAGTGTCCCCTGTGGACTGAGGGGCCCATGCCCCAGTTGTGGGCTCAATCCCCATTGGGGGACATGCGGGAGGCAGCCAATCAATGATTCTCTCTTATCATTGATGTTTCTTTTTTAAAAAAAATTATAAGTAAGTTTTTATTTTTTTAAAAAAGGGTTGCGAGTAATATTTCAGGGAACATAATGTGTGTTCTTATCTCATTTTCTGTTTTGTCAGCTTGCACCGTTTCAGGATGTGAAGGACACGTCATGGGCTTGCAGTATTCCAGGACCAAGTTTCCAGCAGGAGAGATGGAAAGATAATATTAGCTGCTTTCGGTTAGCTCTGTGGGGAAAAATTTTTTTTCTTGGGTAAAATTTCAGTGAATAAATGGCAACATAACAAATCTTAAAACCTCCATTACAGTGTTTTATTGAAGGTCTCCTGTAGGGGAAACCACTGGGGATTCTTTCAGATAAGCGAACATTAGAAGTGAGATTAAGAACTGCTGAGGTGGGACCATTTAGGGCCGTGAGAGCATGTGTGGCCCCTGGTGAAAAGCTGTGGAGCACAGGATGGAACAGAATAGGTAGGACAATGTGGGAAGACTGCTGACCTGGTCTAGAGCAGCCTCGATGAAGGGCCAAAGCCGTGCGAGCTGGAGTGAGATCACAGCCTATGAGCATCTGAAGAGCAAAGGCCATGCAGCTGGTTGGCTGTGCTCTGTAGAGGGTTTGTCAAACTGAGAAGCAGTGCCTATAAGCAGATTGTAGTGAAACCCTGGACTTGGGAAAACTAACATATCATTGATGTTTCTATCTCTCTCCCTATGCCTTCTTCTCTAAAATCAATAAAAATATTTTTAAAAAAAACCAATGGAAAAATATCCTTAGGTGAGGATCAACAACAACAAAAGGTATAATAAGTATACATTATACAAAATGTAACATGGAACCACAAAGGAAATAGAATAGGTTTCAGTTCATTTTAAGTAAGAGAATAAATATCAATAGCTTTCCAAATGCAAGGCATTAATTAGGCTTAGGGCTAGAGAAGATACCCAGAGGAATAAGGCACTGTCTTGCCCTTAAGAAGCTTATAATCTGCAATGAAAGGTTAAAAACAAAAATGTACTCAAGTTCCCTGTAATAAAAGACAACTACATTAAATGTGTTGCTGTTTTTTTAATAGATTTTATTGATTTTTTTTACAGAGAAGAAGGGAGAGAGATAGAGAGTCAGAAACATCGATCAGCTGCTGGGGATGGGCCTGCAACTGAGGAACATGCTCTTGACCGGAATCAAACCTGGGACCTTTCAGTCTGCAGGCCCATGCTCTATCCACTGAGCCAAACCGGTTAGGGCAACTGCGTTAAATGTTTTAATGGAGGTACAAACACAATGTCCAGGAAGAATAATGGAAGAGGCCAATTCCCAAACAGGGAAGGAATAACATTTGTATTGGATAGAAATTCAGAGTAAGGAATTTTGGAAGAAAAACATTTGATGCACAAGAAAAGAAAATGAGCCCTAACTGGTTTGGCTCAGTGGATAGAGCGTCGGCCTGCGGACTGAAGTGTCCCAGGTTCGATTCCAGTCAAGGGCATGTACCTTGATTGCGGGCACATCCCCAGTGGGGGGTGTTCAGGAGGCAGCCAATCAGTGATTCTCTCTCATCATTGATGTTTCTATTTCTCTCTCCCTCTCCCTTCCTCTCTGAAATCAAAGAAAATATATTTTTGAAAGAAAAGAAAATGGGTATGTAGGAAATAGGCCTCTGTGATCCATCTTCAACATAGTCAACTTTTAGTGGAGAATACTAACAGCATGTTGCCAGTTGGTTACTGAATTTTCTCAGGGCAGATAGGATATGAGGAGGAGGGGAAAGGCGACAAGAACAAAGAACTGTGTATGTGACCAGCAGCACATTTCCCAGGAAGATCCTCCCACCACAACTAGACAAAGGGAAGTGGAGACAACAAGAAAAGGCCTCAGTCCATTTTTTTAAATAACCCAATAGGAGACAATACTGTAAGACCTAGGCGACCTACGGGGAAAACTGTTAACCCCATAGTACTCACCCAGTGAAGAACCAGGGGAGGGACCCTTGCACACTAGGGATAAATTGCCTGTGATCCCCACTCCAGGTGTACCTGCTCAACCAGACACCTGATCTTGCAAGACCACATTAAAGGTCTCGTTTTCGCCATACTTCACGTTGCCAAGTCCGTTATTTGAATTCGGACAGGTGAGCATTTCTCACAGATAAACATGATGAGACTAGAAAAAGGAAAACAGGTTCTTAGAAACAGTTGAAAGAGTACCTGGGAGGAAGAAGAGATGTGGTTATACCTTAATGAAAAGACAAAATCTATGCGAGGGAATTTGGACATTTTTCGAAAAAAAAAAAAAAAAAAAAAAAAAAGAGCAATAAGAGTGCAAAAGAATGCTGAGATTGGAATAATAATCTTTAGGAAGATTCATTTGCTAGCAACGTGAAAAATTAAATGAAATTGGAGGCTGAGGAGACTAGTTAATAATGGGCAAAGATGAGTTTAATGAGGGCCTGAATGAGAGTAGTGGCAATGGAAAGAAGGTGGCAGATTAAGATATTCAGTTAGAATGAAACAATGTGAAATCAGTTTAAGAAATGTCATATTCACCCAGATGGAGTGGCTCAGTGGTTGAGCATCGATCTATGAACCAGGAGGTCACAGTTTGATTCCCAGTCAGGGCACATGCCCGGGTTGTGGGCTCAATCTCTGGGTGGGGAATGTGCAGGAAGCAGCCAATCAATGATTCTCTCTCAGCATTGATGTTATCTCTCTCTCCCTCCCCTTCCTCTCTGAAATCAATAAAAACATTTTTAAAGAAATAAATGTCATACTTAAAGATAGACTACGTCAAATAAAAAACAAATCTGAAAGGATTACCCAGGTGAAGGTGGAGGAAACTGTCGCAATAGGGAGAACCCTGGGAACATAATACATGTGAGCATCAAGAGTTGGACAAAAAGGTATTTCTTTTTTTTTAATTAAATCTTTATTGTTCAGATTATTACATTTGTTCCTCTTTTTTT